CGATCGAGCAGAACCATACCCAAAGCTATGGTTCATAACGGTTTACTGAAGCTGCGACAGCCGTCGGTGAGACTGTATGTTGTGAATATTGCCAATTTACCGGAGGGGGTGGACATGTAGGTGATTAAGGAGGTAGCAGCTCTGACAGCAGTGATGGGGACGCATATGGTTGCTGAGGAGACAGACAGCATTAAATGCTACCGAAAATATGCTGACGCTACGGCCAACCGATACGGCGATCGGCTCGACTGCAGCAATCGATCATACGTCATCAATTTGGACGTGGGCGGCCGAGATCAAGGCAACCGTTTTTGATGTCACTACAGGCTGTGACGGCGATAGCAGAGGTGACCACTATGGAGAACGTGCTGAGAGTTGTCGACACGTCTGCGTCCAGTGCTGCAGTATCCATGCCGACGCTCCGGTCCGCTAATACGGCCAACGATCGGCTCGACTACAGTAACTGAACATATGCAAGCATGACCAAAGTGATATGGGCGGCGAAAAATGCAAGACGAAATGTCGCGAGTGCTTTATTTGCGACGGATGTTGTAGCTAATCTGCAATACAGTAAAAAAAAAAAAACACGATAAAAGTTGGATGGAACCAGCAAACGAGCGCCGTCACGACTTCTTCCGGCCGTGCGCTTGAGCTGGTGACAAAGCTTTGTGAACGCCCATTTGTGCGCGCGCGTAAATCAGCAGGCGTCCGCCGACTGTATTGTCGACGCCAGAAACAGCTCTTCGCGTGTAAATTGTGTTTGGTGTGTATGTACGTAGCAGAAATCTTCTCTACCGCTGCATCCATATATTTGTGTTGAGCCTTAGGTATTATTTATTCAGCGGCATGGCACGCTAGAGTACAATACATAACAAGTTTTACTGTGCTGAAAGAGCTGGGTTCTTTTTTAAAGTAAAATAATGGGGTGTTTGTGGCGACACGTAGTTGCTATCTCAAACTGTTATTGGTTTAGAAGGATAATGCCCTGTAATTGTATTGATCATTCTTACCGGTCGCACAGAACCCTAATAATGACCAGTACCAAAACCGTTAACTATACTTAAGGCTGCTCCAAGTAAGCGAACAGGAACAACCTTGAGGTGGTTGGGAAGAATTTTAACTCATTCTATCTCTTGCTCGTCAAGGTTCTGGCTGGTCTGTCTGGACACCTGTGGGCATTGAGTTCCAGTCTGCCGACATTACAGTCTAGAAGGTGGAGCAGAAACTGGTTGCCTTTTTGGCTTCAAGAGCAAGGCGCAAATAATGGTGCTGGGCAAGCGTTTTGCTGTAAACCATGTGCAAGCTGGGGTAGCCGGGGCTCGCCAAGTGCGCTGGGCAAGGCCGCTCCTGACCCCTTCAACAACGTGCACTTCATGGGGCATTAATCGAAACAATGATGTGTTGGTGAGTCAACGACATGAGCAATGTCGGTCCTCATCTGATTGTTGCTAACCCCAAGATGAAACACGGCTTGAAACTAGGCGTGAAGTGCAGAAACTCCGGTGCTGAGTCAAGCAAGGGGGCTCTTTCTAGTCGAAGCCGCAAGAAAAGGGCAAGGCGACAACCAAGGTCAAGAAGCCAGCCCCCAAGGAGGCCACAGTTGAAGACTGCCCATCGAAATCGGGGAACGCGTCCAGGACGGCGCAGCGAGTTGCTCCACAAGCCGCCCTCCGGTCAATCTGCCGACCGCCATGATGGCGCTCGGCTACGAGGAGATGTACGGCATGGAGCACAGACGAGTCCATGGCAGCCTACATGGTGCAAATGAATGTTGACCGTTTCTGTTTACGAGCATTGCGTTGGTACCGCATGTCTAGTCAAATATTCTTAGCAAAT